CAGCATTTTTTCACACCTGCCTAAAACTTTTGGACAGTACTGTTTGTGTGCATAATGAAGCCAAGGCTTCATTAGTAAAATGGTAGCTGTTAAAAAAAAAAAAATTTATAAACACAAAGACTTATATTTTAGACACAAACCAAATTACATATGATAGTGCTACTTTAATTTAAAATACTTTAATCTAAAATGAAAAGGAAGGGATAGGCTAGAGAATTATACCACCTTCTCTTCAGTGTTTAATAACATGCCCATCCTGCTCCTTGATAATACAGTTTGACACATATAACTTACAGAACAAAATACCCAAAGGATAGGAAAATGTTTCAGTCTACATTCCAGATTAGTTCTTTGTTTAACTGCTGTAAGAAAACATCGCACTAAATTAATGGTAGTCAGCTCTCCAATATTGTAAATTGTGGATGGATTAGAAGTAATATTTTTAATAAAACAGGATTTTAATCAGGGTTGGCATTGTAGATCATCTGCTGGAAACAACAACAAAAAAGTATGGAGAGACACAGAAACCAATTTACAGATTTGCTCATTGTTGATTTTGGATTTTTTGAATGAACACCAGGGGTTTTTAAGTATTCTATTTTTAATTTCAGGAGCAAACCACTAATACTAATTGTAGTAGTTTACTTTGTAAAAGAACAACTCATGCAATATGCTTACTATGTCAATGTCCTGGACTTCCATATGTCTTCTAGATTTGCCTCTGTTAACTGTCGACGATGTATAAGTTTGCATGTTGGTACTTCTCCAATTGCTATGCTGTGACGTTTGAACCACATTTCAGAATTCTGTAGCAGCATGAGGAGAAAAACCCTAATTATTGTTAATCTATAATTTTGATCTTCCATGACAACATTGCTTCCTCAGCAATATATTTAACCAAATCTATGAAAAGAGTCCCAACTAAGTCCAATTCATATTAATGGAACAAGTTTCATAAATCCACCATTTTAATTTTTTCTTGGTATCTTTCCAAACAAGAAGGCAGAAAAGAAGATAGTCTTGACATAATATCATGTATGTAGTATACAGCAAAGTAACTCAAACAATGCATTACACATTAAAGTATAGGAAGATATCTTACCAGTATGATAGGTTTCACTGGGATGTGCTCTTGGAAAGTAACTCTTTCAAAGTCATTCCAGTTTGGGAATTTCACAATTTCTTTTCGGTAAGGAGATCGTTTAGGGTATGGTTTTAATGGTGAGAAAGGAGGAAACCTAAAATTTGAAAACAGTGTATTAAAACCATCATAGGATCACTGGCATTCTGCCCTGAGGATCTAGCCCCCTTGATGCTACTAGACCACCTTTCTTTAAGTTGGAAGACAACTTTGGAGACAAAACTACACAACGTGGTTTATCTATACAGATTAATACACAGCTTTCAAACCTTTGGGTTTCCCCAAAGCTAAAGAGGTTATAGGACAGCAAACAATGATATCAATTTATAACATGAAAATGCTAAGAAGTCTTTTTGCTTTGACAAGGGAAACCAAAGCAAAACTTTTATCCATGCTAAATATTATAAATAAACCTGATATTGCAAAATATTGCACGATTTTCACTTTCACTTGTTTCAATACTCTGCCTTCAGTCTTATTGGAAAAAAGATATTTCTTTTCAGAGTTTTATACCTGTTATTTGGGAGCAGCTAAAGCCATGGTTCATGTGCTGTTATACTGACAATTTTATATTTTCCTGCTTCTATTATAGGCCCAATTTTAAATGTTTCCTGGTAGAATTTGAGATAAATGAGATAAATTATGTATGTAGAATTTGAGATAAATTATGTATCTCAGTTCTCATGAATTCTAATGAGAATGTTACTTTCAAAGTTTACAAATTCTATTTTAGAGCCTGTGCTACTAGGAAACAAATGATGAAACCTGGCAATGTTATCTATTTTGTTTTATTTTACTTTATTTTATGGAAGCTGTTGATTGTGATTATAAAATTGTACAAATGTTTAAGTTTATATACTGCTACAAATCATTGGATGATATATTTTCTGGCTACCATTGTTTTTGGGGTTTTTTGGTCATGAGCAGTAATAAATTGTCTGTCTACCACAGGAACTTAAGAATAGCGTTGGATTAGATCAAGTAATTTTATAAATTGTCCTGTCCCAATGTTCAACCAAATGCTCCTGGGTCTCCATAAGAAGTACATAAGCATAACATTAATCTAGTAGATTGCCCTTGATGCTAGATTGCTATCATGGTTAGTAGCCATGATAGGCTTATTTTTCATGAATGTCTACATCATGGCAAGGTATCAGCCAGAGGAAATAATACCAGGATTACTTAGGATCATGCATGAGTCCTGATAATTTAATAATGAACCTGAAATTATACCAGAAAGGTTGCATCACAACCAGGTATATGTCATCACTTAATAAGATCCATTATTTTTTAACCAATTGTGATGTTTTAGCTGCAGTTGCATTTTTACCATCGCACAGAAGAATTTCAGCCAACAAAGTCATGATTACACTCCAAAATTGAACCAGGAAAGAAAGAGTGATCTGGTGTTGATTCGGCTTCCAAGCTGTTTAAAGATAATCCAGGTTATTGTAAGGGGCTCTTTTGCAATGACTGGACACACTGCAGTTTAGATCAGAATTTCTCAATCTTGGCCATTTTAACATTTCTGGCTGGGGAATTCTGGGAGCTGAAGTCTACACATCTTAGCTGCCAAATGTGAGAAATGCTGGCTTAGCTGAAAACTTTATACAATGCTTTACTTACCACACACTTTCCCTGACAATATGAAAGATTAACTCCATCCTCCTAGCCCTTCTGAGTTGGCTTAGCCAGGTAAATACAGTGGTACCTCGGGTCACGAACTTAATTCGTTCCGCGACTCTGGTCACGACCCGAATTGGTCGTGACCTGAATCAAATTTTCCCATAAGGTTCAATGTAAATATGGTCAATCCGTTCTGAACCATATGTATTTTTTGTTTTAAACCACAAAAATATGAAACAAAGTACAGTACAGTACAGTATGAAGAGAGAGAATGCTAACCTTGCTTGAGGCGACTTCTGCCGTGGAGGACAGGAAGGCGGGTGGGGAGGCAGTTATTGTTTGGAGGGAGAGTCCCCCTCCCTACAGGAAGCCACAACCACATGCCAGAGCAGGGAAAATGGCTGCGGATCCTGTTCGTCACCCGATGCAGAGTTCACGAACAGAAGCAAAATTTTGCGAACGGTGCTGTCGTGAACCGAATTGTTCGTGAACAGAAGCGTTCGTGACCCGAGGTACCACTGTAAGTCTTTGGGGCTCAGTCCCTATAGTAATTAAAAGTTGCTGAAGTGGCATACAGACCTTGACTACCTATAAAAGCTCTTACATTCATTGTGGATTTTGTGTTGCATAAACCCCTTAGCTCCTCTCATAAACACATCTGCAAAACAAATTTGCTGCTGAGCTCCATTTTAAGCAAAGTTATGATTTAAGACCCAAGCCAAACTCCAGGCAGGAATCAAGCCAAGATGGGCTGTTTACCATGGTTTGTAGTTTCAGCAGTTGAGTGTGAGCCCTTTTACTTGCCTGTAGCTGCTGCACTTGTCCAAATATCATTTCCTGCTTTCTTGTCTCCTGTTCTTCCATTCACCCACATCCCCTCTGGGTTGGCTTTCCCTTTTTGAGTCTAAGGGTGTGGGTAGGGTAAGGTGTGGTTAGAAAGTAGTTATCTGAAAGCTGAACTAACACCATTTTAGAAGGGAAAGCCAATCCACCATTACAGAGAAGTGAAAGTGTCACATAGACAGATAAGGGAAGAATGAGAAATAACCATTACGATACTAGCAACAGAGATAAGGCATACCATTTAGAATTCGGGCTAAACCATATTAGGCAAGTTAGAATTTAAGAACTTTAAAACTAGACATGCACAGGTAGAAACAGCCTGACTATAAAAGGGTGTTGTGCCCCTGGCATGGAGCTGGCCAAATTCAATGCTCTTGCCTTGAATACTAAATAAACTTTTGAACTCTAAACTATGATATCTGATGTTTGACCTGAACAAGGAATGAACCATAGGGAAGAAACTCTTCCAAGTGTGTGCTGACCCAGTTGCCTATGGACATGGCACGTTCTTGAAAAAGCTAGGGTGTGGCTAAACTAGCCAGCTGGGGACATTGTTATGCCAGTCAAATAGCTGGGAATGGCCAATTGATTAGCTGGGACATTGGCATGGATGTCTGTGTGGTGAGTCTATGTTGGTCAGTCGGCCTCTCTCACTAGACTAGGGGGAATTGAGCATTTCCCCATCATGTTTCCAGGACTGTAAAACTTTTACATGGGGGGTGGGGATGACCTAACAAGGGATGTTAAGGGATGTTAAGGGGTATCAAGGGATGGCCTTGACAAGGGTGGGGGGAGCATTCCACCCGGTTGCAGAACTCCAGTCTGCATTTTTAGCACTGCCTTTCCCAAGCGTAGAGGGCACTTTCAACCTCATGCTCTCTTCCCCAGTTATGATAGTTGGTCTGAACTTGCACAGAATGTTGAGCAATATCCAGCAACTACCTCCAAGTTTCAAAGACTACCTTAACAGCCAAGAGCTCCTTGTTCCAGATAGTATAGAATTGTTAATAGATTAGTAGATTGAACTTTCTTGTGTTTTTCCTGTAGCATGTAGCAAAGTAGCTCATACTGTGATGTCAGAAATGTCTGTTTCAGCTACAAATGGTTGAATAGTGTCAGTATGTTGGAGGATGGGCTGAGTGGAGAAATCCTTATTTATTTATTTATCTGTCTGTCTGTCTGTCTGTCTGTCTGTCTATCTATCTATCTATCTATCTATCTATCTATCTATCTATCTATCTATCTATCTATTGGAAACCTTACGGATAGAATATTCTATCTGAATGGGGTACATTTCCAGCACAGTTTAGTTAAAGAAGCTGTGAGTTCTGCAATTTGGAATGAAGGTGTAGTAATAGTTTGTGAAATCCATTAGTTTCTGCATAGGTTTCACCTACTTTGGGGGTTGCCAGACTAGGATAACTGTTTACTTTGGTTGGGTCCATTTGGACCTTATTTGTAGAGATGCAACGCCCTAGGAAATCAATAGCATTGACTTCAAGGTTGCATTTTTCAAGAGTTGCATACAGATGATGTTCTCTGAGGAACTGCAAGGCAGCTCTTACACTGTATTCATGATGCTGAAGGGAGTGTGAATAAATCAGGAAGTCATTTTAATAGATTATGACAAACTGGTTTGTAAAATCCTGAAAATGTCATTCATCAAGTGCTAGAATATTGCAGCAACGTTGCATAAACCAAATGACTTCATAATATATTCAAAATGGCCATATCAGGTGTGAAAAGCAGTTTTCCATCAGTTGTCCTCTTAGTTTCATATCAAGTTGTGAGTCCCGCTGAGACTGAGTTTTGTAAAACTTCAGGCCTTCCACAAAAGTTCTGAGATCAAGGCAGCGGGTACTGATTTTGGATTGTGATCTGATTGAGGGCCAAGTAATCACTGCAGAGCATCAGTTCTCCTGACATTTTCTTGACAAGTAGAATGGAAGCAGCTACAGATGAAGTGGAAGGACAAATTAAACCTCCTGAGTTTTTTCTAATGAAATTTTGCAGAGCTGCAAGTTCAGTTTCTGAAAGGCGGTAGATCTCCCCCACTGGAATCTAGGGTCCAGGGACCATGTCAATAGGGTAGTCACAGGGACAATATGGTGGTAGGTGATCAGCCTCATGTTCACTGAAGACATTGCTGAAGTTCACATATTTGTCTGGAAGACTGGTTTTACTCTATTTTTTTTTCTGATTTGCTGAGAAGTGCTTCTCACAGATGGGTGAGTTGAAACATATTAATTCCTTTTGACTAGACGATTTTAAGGTCATGGTTATGGAGTCAAGGAGTGCCCAGAATCATTGGAAAATTAAGGGCCAGGTAGAATTTTAATTGCTCTACATGCCTTTCTAACCCCATCTCCACTAGGTCAGTAGCCAGTTCAAATAGCAGGGATCTCCCATCAATTGTTTCTATGGACACAGAAGGCTGTATGGCATGTCTCAGAATGCTATAGGTCTCTACAGAGACCTGCGAAGAGAAGACTCTTTGGAAAAGACCCTGATGCTGGGAAAAATTGAAGCCAAAGGAGAAGGGGACAGCAGAGGATGAGATAGCATCACTGAAGCAAAGAGCATGAAACTGAGTAAACTCAGGGAGGCAGTGAAGGACAGGAAGGCCTG